TAAAAAAAAAACACACATTGGATGTGGTGGTGCACACCTGTAATCACAGCACTCAGGAGGCTGAGGCAGGAGGATTGCTGAGAATTTGAGGCCAGCCTAGCCTACATAGAGAGTTCAAGGCCAGCCTACACTATATAGCAAGATCCTGTCTCAAAACACAAACAAGCATACAAAGTCCCCCCAAGTCCCCCCCAAACCCCCAGCCTTTGGGGGGCCCTGATCTTGTTCACTGAAGAACTATAAGACATAACAATGGGCACACCCACCCAGGCTCCTCAAGTGTGAGGAGGGTTACTTTCATGCTGGCTTGGTAAGTCCTACCCATATCTGGACCTCAGTATCTTCATTTTTGGTCTGTCCTCCCAGATGTTTTAAAAAGCATTTATAAACCCACAGGAATTTAAAGTGATTTCCACACAAAAGGGTAAGGGATTTTACCACAATGTTGTTCTACCTTTCCTTTCCACTCAACATTGTTTCTTGAATATCTTTTCATGTTCACTCATATAGCTACTTATTTAAGTTATTTTTGGTGCAGGGGATGGAAGTCAAGGCTTTGAACAAGCCAACCACCTACAGTGAGCTACACTCCCAGGTTGATTTCATTGTTTGACACAATTATTTTTTGTAAACAGCTTTACTGAGGTCTAATTTACCAACTATAAGAGTCGCAATCTGTTTTAAGTATAGAATCAGCCTTAGCTTACTTTGTGCTACTATAACAGAATACCACAGACTGTATAGTTTATAAACAATAAAGTTTACTTGGTGCACAGTCCTGAAGGCTGGGAAGTCCAGGAGCATAGCACCATAACCTGTCAAGGACATTTGTGTGCCGGGGATTTAGCTCAGCGGTTCGGTGGCCTGCCTTGCAAGCACAAGGACCGGAGTTCAATCCCTGGTACCAAAAAAAAAAAAAAAAAAAAAAAAAAAAAAAAAAAAAAAAAAAAAAAAGGTTTGTAAAGTGTAGTGACAAAACATGGCAGAAAGGCAGGTGAACACGTGCAAGAGAGGCCTAGTGAAATCCCACAGAGAGGCATAGCTGAAATCCCAGCTATGTGGAAGGCTAAGGTAGTAGGATAGCAAGTTCAAGGCAAGCCTGGGTCACTTAGCAAGATCCTGTCTTGAAGTAAACTAAGTAAAGTGTTGGGGTGTAGCTCTGTGATAGAGAGCTTGCCTAGCACGTGCAAGGTCCTTGGTTTGATCACAAGCAATGAAGGGAAAAGGAGAGAAGGGGTGGAGGACTAGCTTACACTCATCTATTTTTTGGTTTTGTTTTGTTTTTTGAGAAAGGGTCTTGCTATGTAGTACAGACTGGCCTTGAACTTACCACGATCCTCCCGCTTCAGCCTCCCTAGGCTCATTATTTCAGTCATAAGGGCAGACCTCTCATATTCTAAGTACTCCATTAAAGGCCCCACCTCTTAGTACTGTTATAATAGAACATTTCTTTATTTCCTCAATTTTTATTAATACATGTTCACAGCCTATAATGATTCCATTTTGATACATAACACATCTTAATTCTTTTTTCATCCCCTTCCTCTCCCTTCTCCCCCTTTCATGTCTTGATCCCTCTCCCTAGTGCAAAAAGAGCCATTTCCCTGTTTTCTATTATCTTCTTTTATTTAACAGCAAGTAGATTTCAACATAAGTTTTGATCAGATATTCAAACTCTAGCACAAGGCAATGATTTTTGTTAAATTTACAGTTGTGCAAATATCACTACAATCTAGATTCAGAATATTCCAATCATCTCGAAAGACCTGAGGGCTATTTACACTCAATCCTGTCCTTGTCCCTGGCCCGAGACAACTACTCATCTGCATTCTGTCCCCATAGATTTGCCTTCTCTTAACCCTTCACATGGATGGACTCAAACACAATGTGGTCTTCTTTTCTAGCTTCCTTAGCTCAGTGTTTTTAATGTTGCTTCTAGATCACTGCATTTGCTGTGTCTGTGGCATGGATGCTCCATCATAGTTTATATAAACCCCCTATAGGCATTTCTGTTGTTCTTGAACTTAGGCTTTGACAAATAATGCTGTGACAAATATTCTGTACCCATGTGCCCACCTATGTGGGTATTTCTGTAGGATCAGACAGTATGTACATAAAGTACGTAGAGAATTGCCTTCCTTAAAGATGTATCTATTCACTCTCCTAGCAGCCAGGGAAGAGAACATCTTTTTTTTTTTTTTTTTTTTTTTTTTTTTTTTTTTTTTGGTGCCAGGGATTGAATTTGGGACCTTG